AATTATTGAAATGCAAGTGTGGCAATAAGTAATTGAAAAATAATAATATTATGCATAAGGAGTTTAATGATTATGTGTGAATAGGGTTTAATAATTGTGTATCATGAGGCGTTCAATGATTATGTGATATGTGTAGTTTAATGACATACTTGTGCGAGATTTTATGGAATAACGTTGTGGAGTTCAATAATATGACACTTATGGAGTCCAATGATATTTTATGTGTGGAGTTCCATGAATAATTATGAATAAAGTTCTATGAACAAATGTAGGGAGGAGTTCAATGATGTAATGTGTTACGTGATGAGCATGTAATATGTGAGTACTATGAGAAATCACATCTTTATGCATTGCATGATCATGAGAGGCAAGAGTTCACCTAGAAAGAAAAGTAGAGGATTAAAACTTTAATAGTAAGGCTACCATTGGAGCTCGATGGTTTGCTTGGATTTATTATTCATATTGTCATACTTGTTCAATAAAGGACTCAAACCTAATTAGCTTTTCACTTGTTCGATGAGAAATTTAGCTTAAGGAGAATGACACACTACAGTGTGAGATTTAGGAAAAATCATAACCCATTAGTGAGTAAGGAGACCTTAGCTAGGTAGCCCCTCACACATAAATGACTAGGGTAGTCTCGTGTTATAGATGATCCTAGTATGTAATAGCCTATGATTTCATGTTAGAGGTATAAGAAAGATTTAAGAGAGGTGTGATCATGCATATTATGATAAAAAAGCACATGGTTGTTTGCATTGTGACCCTCATGCCGAAACATTTGATTCGTGTATAATAATGTAAAATGAGCTAATGTATTGTCACTTCGTGATTATATGCTCTATGATGTGAAGTGTGATGCTGTGCTTGAACATGCTGAATTTGTCATGTGTATGACTATGTTTTCCATTTGCATTTAAATTGATTAATATATATTAGTATGAGTTAGATAAACTTTAATTATTGAATGGCTGTACCCACCTCTTTATCTTCAATATTATAGGGGCTAGTTTATTGGGACATGATTAAGGGAAATAGATTGAGGCTTAAGATTTTAATCTCAAAAATTTCGAGGCCTTTTTTATTTTAAGTGTTATATGTGTATATTGGTTAATGATATTGTCAATTAGGAATTTACATGTACATTTACTTGCATTAAGTGTTGATTAATGTCAAATTGTATATTTTAGGTCCTAAGATGTATATATGTAGTAAATATGAAATCAAAACAATGCCAAAATACTAATGCAAGTAAAGGATAAGAATTTCATGTGATTGATGAATGATTTATAACATTGAGGCTCTCCCTGCTATTTTCAAAATTAAGGGGTTAGGCATTGAAAATATGTTAAAAGTGATAAGTTTATAATATGGTGTATTGCATGTGGTCTAAGGTGTAATTGAGGCTTTTAGCTCTTGTTATGAGCTTTAAGCACACAAGATATGTGTAAATTGTGAAAAGGAATGAATTTTGAAATAGGTGTCTAAATCTTGATTGAGAAATAATTTAATTATGAAACCAAAGCCAATAGTTAGAGTTAGGAAAAAAGCTCTTTATAGACACTTAGATTACCTCAATTAGACGTTGGACAAAAAAATAGGGCATGTCGAAAGTTTGCCCCTATTGCTATCAAATGACAGTTGTCAAATACATGCAATGCACCGTAGCGCATGGCAAAGAGGCATACATATCGTGATGTATGTATTATAAGCTACGGTGCACGTTTGCTTTTTTGCACAATTTTTGTTATTTTCATATTTTATGCAAATGCTTTAATTTGTGAGCGATCTTATACTTCTACATACATTTAATTACTCTAAAATTGAATTATAAAGGGTATTGTAATGTTTTCAATTTTGAAAACTTGAAATTCCCATTTTGTAAAACTTATACACTTGATAATGTTTTAGGATTATTTCTTGATTACCTTAAAAATTTGAGTTAATTAAACAATAGTAAGGAAGACCTTACAACATACACTTGACCTTAAAACACAAAATACTAGATACCAAAATTTCAGATGTTACAAGAGGGACTTACATTTATTGTTTCACCATATTTTGAATAAGATTATCTTAAAAACATGTGCTCATATAAGGAAAAAGAAAGAAAGAAAGAAAGAAAGAAAGATAGATGGCTTAAGCCAAAAACAAGCAACTTGTATTTGTCTAAAGAAAATAAGTTAATGCATTAGCCTTGAACAAGAATTCAATGACGGCCAATTATTTTTGAATCCTAGAGGTAATAATTTGGGTTAAGTATGACGGGCCGATATGATTAAGTTTAAAAACTCAGAAGGCCTTGCTTAGGAGATTGGGATTTTTTATTTATTTTGGGCTTATTCAAGCAACCCAAATAAACTCGAATCCAAATGAGCTTAACTCAAATACTAAAATTATTTATTTAATGATGAAAAAATAATATTAAAATAAGATGAAAATTAAAAATATTAAATTTTAAAATAAAAATTGAAATTATCTAAAAATTAAAAAAAATTAACAATTCAGGTATTTGGCTCAGCTCAAAAACTCGAGGTGTTGGGACTGAATTTGGTTATATATACTTTTTTTATATATATATTTAGGTATTTTAAGTTTAACTTGAATAAGTTTGTGTTGGTTGAATTACCAGCTCTTTTTAACCCGTGGAATTTGATTTATTTGTGATTTGGACCCCAATTAATCAGGCAATCTTCTTTTCGCTTTCATTCCTTTCGTGGCCCATGGAATGGGCCAGGAGAATAGTCATAGACCCGTAGTTGTAAGTAAAGACAGCCCAAGACACAACAAATTGACTTTGAAACTTTAGCATGTTTTCCCTCGGTGAAAGAAAAAAAAAAAAAAAAAAGAGGCTTTCATTTTTCCTGGCCACAATTAAATAGGTTTTTTTATTAGTTAATTAATTTAACAATGAAAACCAAACCAACAGTTTTATAAAAGCAATAGGATTAATTTGCATGTTATTTCAAAGTCTGCCAATTTTATTTTTATGGAAATGTCTTTTCATTGACTTATTGAACGTGGAAGAGTAAATTCTTTCAAATTCGAAGCTATGTTTGTATTAATAATATACAATGAGAAGGTTAATTTCAAGAATTAAAACAATATCTGTTTAGAAGAATTTTCATGATGACAAGAAATGGTAATCGAGGGATTATATTCTTATCACTTAAAATTCAAATGTCTGTATATTATAATTATTGTTAGAATCAGACTAGACCAGACATTTTAATTGAGAATAAACATATGATCTGAATCGGTCAACCCTTCTAAATAGATAAAAAATGAACTGGTTAAGAATAAATCAAAATCACTAAAAACTAGTCTGAACCTTTTTTTTTGTAATATTTTTAAAATCTCAACAACTCAAAATTATGTTATTTTGTATTTTTATTCATCTTGTGGTTGGCTTTTCTTTAGCGTTATATTGATATTTAATAATTTATTAATGATTTTAGTTAGTAATAAAATCTTGAGTTAGTTTGGTTGGACAATTATTGTAGCATACTTAATTATTTTGATTATTTGTAATTAATGATAAATAATGTTTATTATATTGTTGGTGAAGTTGACAATAAATTTCATATTTATGACGAGAATATAATTCAATAATGTTTAAAATATTTTTATTTTTCATACATATTTTTTAAATTTTATTGTTTTAATTGATATGGGTCAAATCATAGTTTGATCACGGTTTTGTGAGCTATTATTTTAACTGGTTCAATGTGATGTCTAGTTCTCACAACATTGATATTTTTTATAGATTGAAAATTTTGAAAACAAACGAACCAGATAAGTAATACAATTACGATGATATTGTTTTAGTCAAAAAGCTTGATGGAATTACGTTATGAAGAATCTAAAACAGTTACAATATTTGGATTTGGGAGAGCATTGCTTTCGCAAAGATATTGATAACTGATGGCATTGATGCCAGCGGCTAATGAATAGGTGAAGACTGTATACTCGTATCATAATTTTGTCTAAGCATTTAACTATAACTACAAGAAATTTTACTAAATTCAGGTCGTTTTCAGATTATAAAGTGAACTATGATTTAGTTTTCATTTTAAAAAGGCAAAATTAGTTTTTCCTTATAGTCACACATCATTATTTATTTTTTAAAAATTTAAACAAAATGTATGCATACAGTATAGGCATAAAGGATAAAGAATATGTTCAAATAAATCTCATAGATAATAATACTTGTGTGTGTTATTGGTAGCTTGAAGATTCAATTTACTCTTCTGGCCCTTACAGGCAAAAAGATTATTTATTTTGGTTCTACGTAAATAACATCTCAATGATTATTGTATTTATTTTTATCTCTTTATTTATATTAAATATTATGAATGCTATTAAATGGTAAAATATTTTAATTTTAAGTATGTATATTTGATAATGATAAAATTAGAAAATTACTAAATTTTTAGACAAAATTAATAATATTTAAGTTTTTTTAATTCTAATAAAAATGTTAAAAGTGACGTAAAAATAAAATAAAAAAATATTACTCCCTCGATTTAAAAATATAAAACATTTTTTGAGGAGTTAGATGTTAAAAAATATAAGGCATATTTTAGTTTTTTGAGGTGTAATTATTGTATTTTTTTTAAAAATACTCCTATTGATAATGATTTTATATTTATTGTAGGGTGTTTAATAGGAATAAATATAAAAAGATAGGTTAGTTAAAAAATAAATAACTACTTTATTAAAAAATAATATTCAGTTAAAAATATCTTATTTTTTTTAATAAAAGGAGTAACTAATTTGCATACCTTACTATTGTATGATTTAATAATTTGATAAATCCGAAAAATTATAATAAGCTTCTCATCTCCACAAGTGAAGTTGGAAAAGAAAAGAAATTTGACCAACTTTTAGTTGAGCTTTAATTATTTTATTTAGTAAACATTATGTTTGGTGGTTTGAAATGTCAACGAAGACCATTCTTTGCTGGGACATAGCAATTAAACAAGCCCATATCGTGTCACCTTGCCCAAATCATAACTCAGAATCGCCACTGAAGAACACAACACAAGATAGTGAGATTGCAGAAATTCACTCAAAGTCACAATTCACAGGCACCACACCGATCTCCATTAAAAGATCAGTAAAGGTACGTTTGGATTCACGGGTCATCAAGCGTTTTCCAGTTCAAAAGTTCACAAGCCACGCATAGACTACCCTCCACACCTACCAATACCAACGCGTCAATTTCTCCTCTTCTCACTTCTTCTCCCTCAAATCTTACTTTATTGTGTTTGGAGTTTGGACCTCAAAGAGGCCGTTTTTGCTAGACATGTCTCTGGAGTCCGCCTCTGCTTCTGCTGATCATCATATCAGAGCCGTGCCCACCCATGGTGGACGCTATGTTCAGTATAATGTGTTTGGTAATCTCTTCGAGGTGTCAAGGAAGTATGTCCCTCCGATTCGGCCCGTGGGCAGAGGCGCTTACGGTCTCGTTTGGTAAGAAATTTTGTGTGTTTCTGCTGAGTCTGTGTATCTATTGTTTGGGGATGAAGGGTTATTATGATTGCTTATGTTGAGCATTATCTAAAAGTTAACTTTGTTCGGAAGCCGTGATTCTGAAAGTAGGAAGATAACTTCTACTCTTGATCAAACTGTTGGGTTTGTGTTATTACTTATTAGTTGGTCGAGCTCGAAAGTATGTAAAGATCGTGTATTTGAGAGACTAGAATCTTCACATCTTACTTCGTCTCGTGATTGGTCATCTGTGATCCTTGATTTTTGTCATGAAATTGCGTATGAAGTAGATGTATGATGTGACTAGTGATGTCTACTTGCTGTGCTAATGAGATCTCAGGTGGTTATTTGATGATAAACAGAGTTTTTTTTTAGCTCATGTGCAACATCGAAAATTTTGCTTTATTGCTTCTAATACATGGGTCCTTTAGTTTATTATGGATGACGTGCTGAATATGGATGAGATGACCGAGCCAAATCATTTGTGGGTTACTTTCCCCCTCCTGCAGTTCCGTGCAAGAAGTTATGTATCTTATGGTCTTCACTCCTCTGTAATCAAAATCATAAAGGATTTTAGATTCCCCAACACCCCCTTTTTTTCTCTTCTTTTATGCACGTAGGGATCCATCTTCATTTTGCTGGATAAAGGTTAAAATTTATTATTCTATGTTTTTCATGATTATCAAATGACCTTAATCGAACAATAAGTTCACATCTTCTCCAAATTTGGATATTTTAATGTGATCACCCATTAGAGTGATTACTTTGGGGGATTCAGAACAAGCCTATGGTTAAGGCAAATATTGTTGCTGTACACTTAAATCATTAATTCAGTAGTTCTTAAGAGAAGTATTCTCCTCAACTGTGTTTTCTTAGTCGATAGATTATGAATTGCACCAGAGGATCAAAAGGTCTTACAATTGTTATTGATATGTGCAGCCTTCCAAGTTCTCGGCTAATGAAATCATTGTGTACATTTGGTTGGAATATTATCTTTCTTGAATCTATCTTTTCTCTTTGAGAATTCATTTACTAGTGCAAATTCTATCCCCAAAATTGTATGTAGAAGCATGACGCGAGTGACTGAAGGTTCAATAGTCTAGATCAGAAACAAAAGTCATTTTTTTTTTTTGGGATTGATTGCTCGATAGACACAAATTACAAAAGTTTCTTTCAGTGGCCAAAGGAGGGGAAAAGAAACCCAAACGTGCATGGCAGTCTGAATTTTACATGTTAATCTTATATAAGGAAATTGCCTAAATTTGACTCCTCAGTCATTCCAGTATTTTTGAAAAGATTTCTGTGAATGCAAATTAGGGGATATGTTTTAATGTCTTTTCCAATTTCTTTCCTGTGTCCAATTAAATGCGTTAATGCTATGATTCTTGAGTTTAGGTGTAGAACGGAATGGAATCATTCTTTTGGTGTCTCTGTACTCAGGTGATATATAAACTATAAATAAAATCATGTGAAGTTTAAAACTGAAGATCATGTATATATTTTGGATGGTTTCTTATAATTTTGTGTTTGACAAGAATGTCTTTTTCCCATTATGTGACTTAGATTCTGTTATCAACCATGTGAGGGGCAATATTATTTTTTCATTTCCTTCAGTGCTGCTGTGAATGCGGAGACACGTGAGGAAGTTGCCATTAAGAAGGTTGGCAATGCATTTGACAACAGAATAGATGCCAAAAGGACCTTGCGAGAAATTAAACTTCTTCGACATATGGACCATGAAAATGTAATTTTGGCTAAATTGTTTCATGCATTCTCACAAATAGATTTCCTCTCTGGCATTCTTTTGTTTGTTTTGACTATGGCTGTCATGGAAAAGCTGATTTTCCATTTCTGGCACTTCAAATTCTATTTAACCTGTAACTGCTTCATTTCTTTATTTACTTATAAATATATGCAATAATAAGAAAATTGTCCAAATATAACTAATGATGGAGGACCTTTCAAGTATAGGGATAAAATATTTATCCAAACTTAACATGCTTTATTGATAACAACTTGCTTTTCTTCAACACAAGCTATGCTTTGTACTAGTATCCATAAATATTTTGAGGGACGTGTTATTAAAATCAGTTTTACACCTAATAAATTAAGCCTTTTAGATTGAAGCTGTCCTTGACACCAAAAGGTTGCTTGGTCGAGTATTAATCTTTGCACTTTGATACTACATTCTTATCTGAATTCAATCTTCAAATTATGCTGATTGCTCAGTTATTTCTCAAGTGCAGGTGATGGCCCTCAAAGACATCATACGACCTCCACAGAGGGAGAACTTTAATGATGTATACATGGTTTATGAGTTAATGGACACTGATCTGCATCAAATAATACGTTCCAATCAACCATTGACTGATGATCATTGTCGGGTCAGCCCTTTGACTTTTTTTTAATTGGAAAATGATTTTTGATGTACTTTGTGCATGTGCCGATTAATTAGTTGAAGGAACTCATCTTAGCTACTTTATTTTGTCTTTCAATTGCTTGATTAACGTATTCTCCTTTTGCTGTGTTGCTGCCAAGGCTGTTGGCATATAAAAGTCCTTGGAAAATAATTTGGCAGTGGTGCAGGACTTTCCTAATATTTAAAAATACTTCTTTCACATTTTTGGTAATTGGTAAGCACTGCTAACAAATGACCACATGGCTCCATCTGAGTTTATCTAGGTCTATTTAAACTTTTGTCTGGTAAGACTACTGTGTAAGCGCTATAGTCTTCTGGCAAGGTAAGAAATCCAAAATCATGTGGATGGTAGAAATAAAACTGTTAAGGATGTTTTGACCTTGAGAGTAATTTCTCTCTTTTATAAAAACAAATCCTTGTCACCACTTTTTTTTTTTTGGGGACACTTGCTCCTGATAGATTACTTGGTTTTTGATTTGGAATATCATTTTGGCTTGCACAATGTCTCTGCTTGATAACTTGCTTTATATTTGGAATATTAGATTCCACATTCCTGGGTCAATAATAATTGTGGTTCTGTAATGGAGGATCAATAATAAGTTTGAATAGTCAAAACCTAGTGCTTAGGTTTGCATGGTAGAAATAAAGGGAGGGTCATAAAACTTGAGCATCTCTCAAGGAAAGTGAGAATAATCTTACTTGAAGGAAAATGTATACCTTTCTTTTCATATGCGATCCTACATACTGAATAATCTTGGAATTCGATTTCAAGATGATCCTATTCAGTTTTGTAGAAAATAACACCCAGTATGCATGGTATTATGTAATGTAAATATTAAATGTATTTATACTTTCTGTCTTACAGCCATTGATAAGATCTATATTTCCAGTATTTCCTGTATCAGTTGTTGCGGGGTCTAAAATATGTACATTCAGCAAATGTTTTGCACCGTGATCTAAAGCCTAGCAATTTGCTCTTGAATGCCAATTGTGACCTTAAGATTGGAGACTTTGGTCTTGCTAGAACTACATCTGAGACTGATTTTATGACTGAGTACGTGGTTACTAGATGGTACCGTGCTCCAGAATTGCTTCTTAATTGTTCAGAATATACTGCAGCCATTGATATATGGTCTGTAGGTTGCATCCTCGGTGAAATCATGACAAGACAACCTCTCTTCCCTGGCAAAGATTATGTTCATCAGCTGAGACTGATCACAGAGGTATTCTCAAGAAAACTAACATGAAATTTCTTGTTTCTCCGTTTTGAATTCCAAGCACATCCTAATTGTTTTTATTTGATTAAAGATTCTGATTTTAGTCTATCAAAAAAAGGGGGGGGGGAGATTCTGATTTTCAATAATACACTTGTGAAAGGATTATTTAAGTGATTCTGAAGTTTGGGTGTTAAAGCTGGATAAATAGTCCTTGTCGTTGGTTTGTTAATTGGTTTATAACCATTGGGATCATTTCCTTCATTTGACCACGGTTTTCTTGAGCATTAATTGGTTTATAACCATTTAGGTTTATTTCCTAAAGGTAGATGTTGAATGCAGTTTCTGAATTTTAGGAAGCTTAAGAGGAACAGATGTACAGTAAGCTGAAAAATTCTTGTGTGGAGCCGGTCTACATGCACCATGTCAAGAATTAGAAAAATGAACAGAAAAGTTCAGACTATGCCATAGTTTCGTTGAAAAAACATTGAATATAATGTTTTCTACCTGTTTTCCTTTTCTCATGTTCTTTGGATTATAAGTAGATTACTGATGTCTTGTCAGCAATAAATACAGAATAAGTTAAGAGAACTGTACAGATGAAGTGATAGTTTCCATCTTCCATCTTTCTCCTATAAAAATTTGCAAGAGTAGATCCAGGTCTTCGCATAATGTTTTTGTAGGCACTAACATGTTTTGTTCTTTGGCATGGCTTGATATAATTGACTCAACTAAGTCTTAGTCGGGCATGTCTCTGGGTTTAAAGTTGACAAAAGGATGACAAATTTCCGTGATTTTTATAGCTTATAGGGTCACCTGATGATGCCAGCCTGGGATTTCTACGAAGTGACAATGCCCGTAGATATGTAAGACAGCTTCCACAATATCCAAAGCAACAATTTTCTTCTAGATTTCCAAACGTGTCTCCTGGTGCTGTTGATTTACTGGAGAAGATGCTTGTTTTTGATCCAAACAGGCGTATTACAGGTAAAATTGCTCTTGCTGATTCACTTCTACTTAACAGGGACAGGCTATGATCCGTGGAGTTGGAGGAGGAACAACTTAGGCACTTCACTTTTTTGATGTCAGAACTTCATTGTTTTTAAACTTCCATTGATAGTAGTAGCAAATTTCAAAAGCTATGGCATAAGCACTGTTTGCTTTACTTCTCAATTTACTTAGGTCAGAACAGCCAGACCAATCATCTATTTGGATTTGGTTTGAGAGGGCTTTATGCTTATTTTGGTTATAATTTGTATGGCTGTTTTATCTCCTAACCCATTTAATTTTCAAATAGTTATATTAACTTCCTCCTAGGTTAGATAGTCCCAAAAAAGGTCATTAATTATTCAAATTTACACTGGTATAAAAAAACCGAACTATATCACCTATAGTGTTAGCTGTTTTTCCCTTCAAAATTAAAATATGAGAAGAAATTACTGTGGGGTAAAATTTCTTACTTTTCTTGACAATATATCTAATCTTCGATGAATTATAGTTTTCTATATCAATAGTTTATTGATGCTGCCTTTTGCATGATGCTCTGCAGTTGATGAGGCTTTATGTCATCCGTACTTGGCACCTCTCCACGATATCAATGAGGAACCTGTTTGCCCTAGACCTTTCAGTTTTGATTTTGAGCAACCAACATTCACTGAAGAAGATATCAAGGAACTTATCTGGAGAGAATCTGTGAAGTTCAATCCTGATCCCCCAATTCACTGATATTTGCATTCTCTGCTCCTGTGTATGCTTAGTGAAATTCTGTATGGTTAGATGGAAGGTTGTTAGTTGTCCACTAGAGTTAAAATATATATATATATATATATATTTCAAAAGTACAGATTGTTGGGAGTTGTCCGTGATTCAACTCTCATCTTACATTCTTGTTTGCTTGTATTATTGAGATCTCTCCTGGAGAGGATCAGAAGCTAAGCAGCGTTCTGCTTTGGAAGTTCTCACAATATTTAATAGCGCCAACTTCTTGTTTTACTGCCGGACTTATATCCTTGAGCATGGACTTAAGACCATAACATGAGTGCAGTGAACTAATGCTGAACGTATTAGTTTGTTTGTTTTTTGTTTTTAGAAATTTCCTTACCCTAGCCATTATGAGTTTTGTCTTGTCATCTTCACGCTGAAGCTAGAAGCTCTTTTAACAACACCCGAGTAAAATAATCTGGAATAATTTTATTTAGCATTGCAATAGCAGCATGTGGCCAAGCACAATGAAAGATCTCTACTGTTTCAACTTGAAAATGCCTTCTAGTCCTGGATAACAAGAGAGACAGGCCAACAGTGCGGTACATAGATCGCATACATATACTAATACACTTTGACAATCTGCTCATAACTCATGCATGTATCATCCCATTGAAGCATTTCTTGAGCTCCAAGTTATCAATGGGTAGACTCTTCTCTGGAAAATTGCAAGCTGAAAGTTTCTCCGGCTGCTGATGAGGTAACAGGTGACACGGTAGGGGTGTGACTCCACTTGTCATTCCTTCAACATTCTTGCATGACCATGAATGTTTCTTTGCCCCAGCGGACATCCTGATTGTCACGTTGGCCATGCAGATTCCGGTGAAGGGGTCACCGGAAATCCCTCTCAACAGAGCTGCGGTGGTCACATCCTCAGCTACTATATCTCTATAATGAATACCTTTGATCAGAGGCAAGGCCTTAGGATCAAAGTTGTTATCTGCATTGGAACCATAATCACCAGTCATAAAGAATGCCCATTTCATGGTGTGCATGGTCATTCTCTTGACGTATACGTCCTTCACATACCCGCCTCTTCCTCTAGCTGTTTTAATTTTGATTCCAGATTCTGTTTTAATGGCTGTAACATCTTCGACTCTCACATCTTGGATGCCTCCAGACATCTCGCTTCCCAAGGCAATGGCGGCGGAATAAGGAGAAATACACGTAAGTCGCCTGATGATCAATTGTTTGGTAGGCCATCCGAACTTGATGCCGTACTCGTCCCATCCACTCTTAACAGCCACACAGTCATCTCCAGAAATTATGTAGCAATCTTCGATTCTGGTGTTGGTGCAAGAGTCTGGCGATAAAATCAAGAGGAAGATATTGAATATTAATTAATTGAAATTGGGGAATCTAGCGAAGCTAATCAGCTCGGCAACTGGGGAAAAAATGACCTGGATCGATGCCATCAGTGTTGGGTGAATTGACAGGTGCTATGATGGTGAGGCCTTGAATGATAATATTGCTGCGCAGTAATGAAATAACTTGGAGTTCTCATGCATCAAACATTATTTTGGTAATTTAATTTGGGGAAGAGATAGGGATAGGGAAGACCTGCTATAAACAGGATGGAGATTCCAGAAGGGGGAGTGAAGAAGGGTAAGATTAGAGATTTGGAGATGGTGAGAGTACATAATCTCGATCAAGTGAGGCCGAGTGTACTTCAACTTCTTCCCACGAAACCGCGCCCACCAGTCTGCTCCTTGTCCGTCTATGGTCCCATTGTCCCCTGTCTCATCCCAAAACCAAATATCATAAGCAAATATATCACATTTAACTTCGCTCATGTTTGGTCATTGACAATTTTAATTTCTCAATATTTTGCCCATTCCAAAATTAGAAATTAAACTTTTTCTTGAGTACGAGTCATTCAAAATGTAAGAGAAATCAATACTACGATAATTTACTCGCGCGCACAAAAAAAGGATGGAAGTTAACTAGTAGTTATATAACCAAAGATGTAAAAAATTGGGAGTACTTTTCAAATATTAATAATTGTACGAAAAGGTAAAAGACAAAAAATATTAAATGCTCTGGATATTATCAAACTAGTCTTATATTTTGGACCAATCCTGGCAGGAGATGTGGGCTTTAGTTTTCGACCTGATTCTTAAGGAATTAAATTAGTTACCCATAATTTTCGGTTGTAGCAAAAGCTAGTTGGAAGTGCAATGATGAATCAATTAGTGAAAATAATCAAAGGGTTGGTGAACGAAACATGCACCAAATTTTGAAATGGCAGTTGCAAACATGATAGTGTCACATCATCCAATCGTCAAACTTGGGATTGAAATAAAGCAACCGGAAATGAGGATGCATGTTGATGTTGGTGTGATTGAATTCAAGGATTCACCAACATTTGAACCGAGTTTGAATATTAGTGTGTTTGTTAGAATGAAGAATGAAGGAGTGATATCATACCAGTGATAACGACATCAGTGAGATTGGCTCCAAAGATGAGGCTCCTATACCTTCCTGCCGCTGCATCTCTTCCTCTTCCGTATGACGGCAATGCTTCCATCACTGGCCACTCTTTCATATCCTACACCATTCGTTGTTTACCCAATTTACAATCAACGTGCAAAATTACAATTTCTCCAGAGATCTCTACAAGATTTAATGAGCCAAGAATTGTAATTTCCTCGCAAAGCAGAATATTTATCCAGGGAAGTCATATTCCAACCGGCTAATTATACTCTCTCTCTCTCTCTCTCTCTCAAGTTCATTACCTGCACATCTTTCACGTGATACCATCGAATGTAGTACATTTTCTATGAGCCACCCAATTAGATATAGGCAGTTTAAATCTCATTTATATATTGAATTCAAGGAAGCAATATGTATAGCAGCAGCAGCAACATTAATCTTCCAATTACCAGCTTATCAAAAACTAATCATTTAAATTAAAAACCAAGAAAAGAATTATTAAGACCACCCCTGTCTTGATGATTTATGAAAAGCAGTGTACTGGATATACATCCTCGAGCATGTGCACTGAATCTGATGTGCAACCTTCCAATTTCTCTAATGAAAATGCATTTCAGCTATTCAAATCAAGTCAGTTTAAAAGTTCAGGAACGTCTTGAGGAAAAGAGGCAAATATACACTCATGAGTGCCTTCCTATTTCCCATGCTTCTATATAAATTCATGAACAATCAAGAAAGAAGTGAGATAATAGTGGGGAGGAGACCTGGGAAGCAAGAAGAACAGCATCTTTGTGGAGAAAGAGTGTGAAATGACTAATGAGGCTGAAGCTGCCAGTGAGCCATTTCCCAGCAGGAACATACAGCTGAGCTCCTCCTCCTCCCTCAGAAGCGTACTGTCTCAGTTCACTCATTGCTCTCTCAAATGCCTTCGTATTCATTGTCTTGCCATCCCCGACTGCTCCAAAATCCACCAGTGAAGCACTATGACCCCTGCAACTTATAGCAGAATACTCCAACCAACCTCTTCTGCTCTCAGCCCTCCCTGGACTCAGAAACGCCACCAAAATCATTGCAGAAAAAATTACCTTCACTGCCTGGAAAAAGGAAGAAGAGAATGGTTAGACAATGAAAGTTTAATTGTTAGGCAGGTGGGCTGTGAAGAAGCTGAACGTATGTGCATTTATGCTGAGAAGAGATTTACAAATATATACATGACAAGAAACAAATGGATAGTTTCGAGACAGAAGATGAGATGGGTCTTACTTGTGCCATCGTTAGAGAATGCAATTCTAACTTGGGTTTAGGATAGTGGAGTTGTAAACGCCTAGTATTTATAGAGAATGGACATGTCCAAAAGATTCATGCCAAGTTAAGAAAGTGCATACACTTAATTCAGTTGGAATTGTTTGTTCCCGCACGGTGGGGAAGTAAATTTTACTGAGAGGTGAAGTGAGATCATATATTTACATTGTTAACTACTTGCAATCAAAACGATTTTTTTTTTAATCTTTTTATATCTTATGTTGATTACTACAACAACAAAAATTGCATATGGAGAGTTAAATGTTATTTTCCTTTCATGCAACGTAATAAATATATTCCTACTGGCTGGTAGCCGAGACTCCACTGATTTTGCAAATATTATGGGCCATACGTGGTTTAACTACTCGAGCAAAGAAGCCCTCAAGTCCAAGTTATTCCTGTTGACTTCCTCTTTTTTTTACCAGCTTTCCCGTTGACTTCTTAAGTATGCTAAATTAATAGTAGACAGAGGATTACCTTCCTGAAAAGTCTCCAGAGCTCATCAGTCAAAGGTGGGTTCTTTGAACGTGAAATTAATTCAACCACATCAGTATATTATGAACCTTACAAGTTATGTTGATTGCATTCATGCAAGAATTCCAGGTAACTCACTGAGTCATGCCTATTGCCAAGGAGAGTTACAGTTACCTGAAATTTTTGCTAAGAATCAGGTCAGAAATTTGACTTCTGAAAGCAGCAACCTCTTCAATACCAAGCCCAATGCTACCTTTTCTCCAATATTTTCTAGTTTTTGTTTCCATAATGCTCTTCCTTCTGCTTCAACGACCCGCTTGTTAAACCATCATATTCGTCATCTCTGAGTCGCAAAAGTAGAAATAGGAACGCTCATTCTCGATCTGATTCTGGGTTAAGTGACATAAACACCAGCAGTGATTCTGTTGGTACAAGTGATTGTGATGATAAAATCAAATATCCTTGTAAAAGTGCAGTAGAGAAAGTAATTCATTTTGCACAAAAAGTGGAAGGAGCCTTCGATAAGTTCACACCATATGTTCACAGTTGTTCGACTCTCATCCATATCGTTATAATGTTGTTATTCCAGTAGGTGGTACATTGACAGCTGATCTAATAGCATGGATTGTGATGCCTCGGATTTTGAGGAAACTTCACAAATATGCAATGCAAGGTCCTACAGCAATATTTCCAGGAAGCGCATGTGAGGAGCAAGTTCCTTATGAGAAAAGCTATTGGGGAGCTTGATTTGGTTACCTTCATGGCATTCTCACAGGCGTTAGTGGCTTATTTCCATTTTAAAGGTGGTGTTTTAGTTTTCATTTCTGTGGTTACATTATGCGTCCAAGTATGTGACAGATAACTTTGATTTTCAGTTGTGCAATGGTAGCTCCAACAACTTTAACCTCACGCCTTGCAGAGGCTTGGAGGGGTGCTGCGATCCTTTCATTTGTGTGGTTTTTGCATCAATGGAAAACAATTACCCTGCGACACACTTCGTCCAATCTAAGTTTTCTTGGGCTTGTTCAAGATAAATTGCTTGCTCCAGAAAAATTCTTATCTGGTGTTCTGTTTGTTTTTGGTGTAATGGCTTTAGCCGAGGCTTGTGGTGTTGCTGTACAATCTATTGTAACTGTGGGTGGTATAGGAGGTTTTTAAGTATTAACAGTCAATCGAATCTGCTCATTTTCATTTATACACTTTCACCATCCTTAGTTTCCCCTAGGCTTTTAATGTCTGCAGTGTTTGTACTAGGATGTAATATATATATATATATATATATATAATGTTGTAGGTTTTAGGGCGTCAAAATTCATTGCTGGTACGTGAATCTAGTTGAAAATTAAAGGATAAAGTAAGTATCATTATAGAAGGTTAAAATTGATAATGAGCATGGAATGTAACTTTATTATTTTCCCCTTGCTCTTGTTGATCTAATGTTATTGTCGTATTCACATTTTCAATATCCTTGTTATGTGACAAAGTTTTGGGTCTTCATGTAGGAGTTGCTACTGCTCTTGCTACCAGAGAAATCCTTGTCAATGTATTTGTCTATGCAGCTTTCGGAGCCCTTTACAGTTGGAGATATAACAGAGGTATGTCATTAATTAACATGGTGCAACTTACCGTTTTCCCCGTTCCAACGAACAAATTAATTTTTTGCTTAAACATGTCATAGCCGTTAGTTCTGTACTTGCAGTTATTTATGGAAAATTGCGAGATTCTCAATCTTTAATACGCAAGTGCTTTGCGCCAACAGTCCAACATGGCCCCTGTGAATCCTTCAATATTTCAATGCATAGAAAAATATAAATGTGTTGAATGCGACATATAGAAGTAGAACTAAGGTTGAAATATCCAAGGGGCCAACATAAAAAAATTTGAGGATTTTAACGAAGTTAGAGATAAAACTGAGCAACCCAAACATGTATAGTTGTGAGAACACAAGTGTGAAGAGGAATTTCTGAATTCTGGATATTATAAAGAAGCTGTCCCTCAATGGAAGTTTGATCCCATTGTATAATTTATTTGTCTGATTATAGTCTGAGGAATTGAAGCAATTGTAGGCCGGGCCGGTAGAGGGTGAAGTAATGGAAATGGGACTAACAACTAACTACATTATTGCTGAATTCAGAGAAGTTCCCCTTTGTAGTGCCAAACTCGCCTTTTTCCACCCAGGTATGAGCTTCCCACTTTTTTATCTGCTGCTCATGGTTGATCGTACAGTTTAAACTGATAGCTTTGCTCTGTTCTCACTTGTCCTGCCCCTGCCAGGTAGGATGTCATCTAATTAGATTAATTCACGTTTGTTTTTAAAATTACTATCTTGTAAAATACACGATATTGTAAAGCATAATTGTTGTTGCATATTATTGTATAATTCAAATCAACGATAATGTGTTATTTATCTTCCTTTTTTTTTTTAACTAAGTGTCATCTTTAGCTAAATTACATTAATTTGCCACCAATTGAACTAATAATAAATGTGAATGATATAATTGTAATTAATTTTGATAGAAAAGTATAAATCATAAGCAAAAGTTTAAGCAAATAATCATTGCAAGGTATAACACAAAAAAGAATTACAGCCCATTTTCATTAATGTTTTGAAATATCTCATTAAATACAACATTAATCATTCTTGAAGATGTCTTATTACTTTTGTTATGGATAAATATCTTTAAACCTTTCATGTGTAAATTTATTTTTATTTGACCAAACAAATTACATGTACAGTAGAATTTATAATAGTTATTGTCTTATTTTATTAGTAAAGTATCAGGTGAGTTATTCAATGTTTTTGCACTATGACAATAAAATTTTAAAAGCATATAAAAATAAATAAAAAGATTGATGTTATTTTGTAATTTAATGTTCTAAAAAATATAACTTCACCCCATGCCAAAAACAAAATTCATGCCTAGTAAATAAAAACACTTATACTTAAAAAAAAAGGCAGCATCAACAACAAAAAAAAATTGTGAATTCAAAGCACTCATTGGTTTCCCTTTCATATTATAATTTTTAGTTAATAATTAATCATGTTTTATAAAATTGCAATTGTTTATTGCTATAAAACTATTGTGAGTTATCATTGATAAGTAGCTAAAAAATGTTTACTGGACATTCTTTTATCATAAAAATTAGTATCGTAAACTTTAAAGATGATAGTAATAAAAAGAAATTAGTGGAAAAACAGGATTAACAAATCAAGTGGCCATAATAAAATAAAGCGTATAAAAATTATTAAATAAGTCCGTGCATTATGCGAGATTCATTTTTAGATTTGTATAATAATTTTATGTCTTTCATATTTTGTACAATTCAATTATTAACCTTACGTGGTCATATGAATAGAGAAAATTTAAAGTGATACATAAAACTAACACATCAAATAGTATATAAAGACTTGTCCTCTTACTTCATCAAAGTGCATTTTCGACAAGAAAAATGCAGTTCCCTAAATCAAAAATCTATTTATTATTAGACTATTACACATATATATATATTGCTTCACAAAATTCCATACAACTAATGCCACACTCATCTTGATATCTAATTGACTCACTATTCCCCATTGCATCATAAGGTACATTCAATCACCCAACATAAACTCATACAACAATAACAATGGAGTAACTCAATTATTAATCAGAAAATAATAAAATGTTTCATCATTAGTTATGCATGTAAATCAATTACAATGGTGGGTTTTAAATATCATAAACCAAATCAAATATACTATATTGATCATTAAAAAAAAAATCAAAAATAAGGAAAATTATTAAAAAAAATAAAGCAAATCAAATATAATATTTGAAGTTCCTATAATGTACTTTTCACAAGATATGATATACACAGCACTTTTAAATGCTTAAATTTCCTTTAAGCACTCCATGTACATTTTCAAGAGATTTTCTAAAAATCATATAGAAACTACTTATAACTTCGAAAATAAAAAACTCACTTGCATGTGATTTTCAATATTTCAACTATATGACCAACAAAATTACAATATCTTCATAAATGAAAGACACTAAATTTAGGAAGGAAAAAACGTATGCTATTGAGTTTTATTGCTCCTTGCTTGTTTGCCTACTCTTTCCACCAAACCTGCAAATGGAGGAAAGATGATCCATTAGCCTAAACTTTGGAACCCAAGGAGTCTTTCCATGGAGCTCACATACCAATTGCGTTCTATTTGCAGAAGCACAAAAATAAGTTCTAGTGTTTGAGATTAAAAAAATAAATGAAGCAATCCATTGACTACCATCAAGAAAATGAAAGAAGAGAGGAAGATTTAAGTAAGGAAGCTTACCTTTAGTATTTATGAGCTCTAATTTACTTCTAATAATCAATTTCTTCCAGCCTTAACTTAGTCTTTTGTCACTCTCTCGGTTCCCTTTGTTTCCTTTTCTCTTCTACTTCAGGTTCGTGACTTAATGCTACAAAATTCTGACTATGTGCCACGGCAGACGCACAATGCACTGCAGTGCATGGCATAGAGAGCCTCTTTCGAGAGTGTTGTCATGCATGTGCTACGACGGACTAACCATAAGTCACGGCATGTGGTATAAAATCATTTCATTTAAAAATTCTCCCTCTTCCATTCTCAGGTGA